ATCGCATTTTGAGCGAGATTCGAGGTGAACCCTTCGTCCGTTGGCTGGGCAAGTTAGGAACCGCGCAGAGGGGCTTCAATTCAAAATATCGCTGCACCTTTCATGAAGAACGGGGGCACCGAATAGAGGACTGCTTGCCGCTCAAACAACACTTAGAGGAGTTGGTGGCGGCGGGGCATCTTGACCAATACATAGATGGGGGCATCAAGGCCACGCCAGCGGGCCAAGCCGAGCCAAATGGCCTGGCTGCCCTAGAAGCGCCCCCGCAAGGTATAATGAACGTCATCCACGGCATCATTGAACCAGCCAGGGTCTGCGAGCTGAGTGGGATGATCAAGAAGGCCGAGCACATGAGGGAAGTGCTCTCTGTTCAGCCCGCTGTGAAGAGGGAAAAGACCGAAGAAAGGGACATCCTTTCATTCTCAACCAAGGACTTGGAAAGAGTTCAGATGCCGCACAATGATGCTTTAGTAGTCACTCTTCGCGTCAAAGACTTTGACATCAAGAGAATCTCGATCGGCCAGGGGAGTTCGGTAGAAATTATGTATTATGACGCATTTAAACAAATGAAGTTGGAAGACAAGAACTTGGCCCCTGCAACGTCCCCTTTGGTCGGCTTCAACTCACAGCTAGAATGACCAATCAGAAAGATTATTTTGCCGGTCAAAGAAGGATCGATCGTAAAGTAAGTAAAATTCTGGGTGCTCAAAGTTCCATCGACTTACAACTTGATCTTAGACAGGGGCAGGCTGCACGCCATACAAGCAGTTGCTTCGACCTTCCACCAAGTCATGCGCTTTCCGGCACCAAGCGGACAAATAGAGGAAGTTTGGGGGGACCAGGTGATGGCAAAACAATGCTTCGTTGCGGTAAATGGCAGCCGAGCGGCCAAAGGGTTCGTCCAAATGATTGAGGGGCCCGAGGGTAAAGAGGTCCTTGAAGACGTAGGAAGAAAGGCCGAGGAAAAATCGATCGAGGATTTGGTGGAAGTGCGCATTCACGAGAACGATCCAACTAAATTCTTCCTCTTTGGATCATCCTTGTCTAGCGCCGAGCAGATGGATTATGTCAACTTCTTGGTTTCCAATTTGGAGGCCTTTGCCTGGACGCCTTACGACATGCCTGGCATCAACCCGAGCTTCATTTGTCATCAGTTGAATGTCTTCCCCAATGCACGGCCAGTCATTCAAAGGACACGCCACTCAGCCTTGCACCATGCTGAAGTGGTGGCAGAAGAAGTGAAAAATTTGTTGGAAGCTGGGTCCATAGAGGAGGTGCAATACCCTCGGTGGATATCCAACACGGTGGTTGTTCCGAATAAGAATGGCAAGTGGCGAGTCTGCGTTGACTACAAGACTGTCAACCGAGCTTGCCCCAAGGATAGCTTTCCCCTCCCACGAATTGGCCAGCTGGTGGACTTAACCGCTGGCCATCAGAGGTTTAGCTTCCTGGACGCATATCGCGGCTACCACCAGATAGCCATGTATAAACCGGACAGTGAGATCACGTCGTTCATAACCCCCAAAGGCTTATATTGCTACAAAGTCATGCCGTTCGGACTAAAGAACACCGGGGCGACTTTTCAACGGATGGTGACAAAGATGTTCGCCCCAATGCTGGGCTGCACCATGGAGGCCTACATCGACGATATGGTGGTGAAAAGTAAGGAGAAAGCTCAGCACCTCTCCGACCTAGTAGAGATGTTTGCTATACTTAAACGCCACAAGCTTCGTTTGAATGCTTCCAAATGCGCCTTCGGAGTCGGCACCAGGAAGTTTTTGGGTTTTCTAGTCACAAATCGAGAGATTGAAGCTGACCCATCACAGATCAAGGCTATACAAGACTTGGAGCATCCTAATTCCACAAAGGACGTGCAACATCTTGCCGGGATGACAGCCGCGTTGAACAGATTTATCAGCCGGTCTTCGGATCATTGCAGGCCCTTCTTTAAAACTTTGAAGTCCAAGTTCTTCTGGGATGACGAGTGCGACCGAGCACTAGCAGACCTGAAAGCATATCTCTCCTCTGCCTCTATTTTGGTCACACCTCAGTCGGGCGAAGAGTTGTACCTCTACTTGGCTGTCTCTCAACACGTAGTCAGCGCGGTATTGGTCCGTGCTGAAGGCATCCAGCACCTACCGATCTTCTATGTAAGCAAGACTCTGCTCCCAGCCGAAACGAGATATCTTCCCTTGGAAAAATTGGCGCTGGCCCTAATGATGGTGTCAAGAAAGCTGGCACACTATTTTCATGCCCATACAATAATTGTGTTAACCAAGTTCCCGCTCAAAGTGCTTTTTGAAAAGGCAGACTTCACTGGGAGAATTCTGAAATGGGCTGTGGAACTAGGACAATATGACATCAAGTTCCGACCACGCACCGCAATCAAGGCTCAAGCACTTGCTGACTTTGTGGCGGAATTTGCCCCTGGGATGCATCCAGTATGCCCGATTGATTTGGTTGGTGCGGATTTAGCACAACCCATGGTTCTGGCAACAAAAACAAGTGTTGGTTCGCAAGTAGGAAAAGGGATGAGCACGACCGAACTAACAAAGTCCGGCGAGAATGAACCCAACCAAGACAAGAAAAGAGACCAGAATGAACCGATCAGAGACTTGGAATTGAGAAGCTCCCACAACCCCTCTGATTGTTGGAAGTTGTTTATTGGCGAGATGTGGAAGCTCTTCGTTGATGGGGCATCCAACAGACATGGGGCCGGGCTAGGCATCGTGCTGAACTCACCGAACAGCCTGGTCATCGAGCAGGCAATTACATTCGGCTTCCCAGCATCCAACAACGAGGCTGAGTATGAAGCTCTCCTTGTCGGACTAAGAAGCGCGCTGAGAATGAAAGCCACAGCCCTTATGGTATTCAGTGATTCCAAGTTGGTGGTCAATCAGGTCTCAGGGAAGTATGAGGCAAAGGAGGAAAGAATGGATAAGTATCAGGCGCAGATACGCGCAGAGATCAAGAAGTTCGCTACAATAAGGATGGAACAAATCGACCGCGAGGAAAACAGCGCGGCTGATGAATTGGCCGGACTTGCTTCTGCTCAGACAGCTTTTCCTAACCCCTTGATGATAGAATTTTTACCCCGACCAAGCATTGAGGAACCAGAATCAGTCGAGGTACTCTGCACCGATTTGGGTCCTTCTTGGATGGATCCCATCGTCGCCTTCCTGAGAGATAGAGTTCTGCCGGAAGAAAAGAAGACGGCCAACAAGGTCCGAGCTAAGTCAGAGCGGTTTTGGCTCTCCCCTTCCAGAGCCTTGTATAAGAAGTCTGTCGCCGGGCCGTACTTGAAGTGTGTTCACCCCTTTAAGGTGGAGGCCTTCCTCTATGAGATCCATGAAGGCATCTGCGGCAGCCATACTGGGGGCAGATCTTTGGCCTACCGAGCGATTTCTCAGGGCTACTGGTGGCCATGCATGCAGGCGGATGCGCAGAAGTACGTTCGCCGGTATGAAAAATGTCAGAAGTTCGCTCATCAGATCCATCGGCCAGCAAGAGAACTGCTCCTCCTTACCAGTCCTTGGTTGTTCGCACTCTGGAGATTGGACATAGTGGGGCCACTCCCAGCGGCCCCGGGCAATCGGAAGTTCTTCATCGCCGCCACTAACTACTTCACGAAGTGGGTTGAGGCCGAGCCATTGGCGACCATAAAGGAAAAGGATGTGAAGAAGTTTGTATGGCAAAGTGTCATCACCCGTTTCGGTATACCCAAGGCCCTCATCTCGGATAACGGCACTCAATTCGATGGAAAACTCTTTCGCGGATTTTGTGAAGAGTTGAAGATCAAGTTTTACAATTCAACGCCAGCCTATCCTCAGTCAAATGGTCAAGCCGAAGCCTCAAACAAGACCATCCTGGACGGGCTGAAGAAGCAGCTTGAGAAGGCCAAGGGCAAGTGGGCAGAAGAACTCCCTAATGTGCTCTGGGCATACTGCACTACGCCAAGGCGGTCGACCGAGGAAACACCATTTGCTTTGGCCTATGGCATGGAGGCCGTCATCCCATTGGAAATGGGCATGCCAACCATCCGCTCTAAAAATTTCTAGCCAAATCTGAATAATGAAGCGGTGGCATTGGAGCTGGACCTTGCTGAAGAAAGGAGGGAGCGAGCATTGATCCACATAGCGGCTTATCAACAAGAACTCTCCAAAAAGTACAACAAGGCTGTGCACCCCAGGCTATTCAAGATTGGGGACTGGGTATTAAGGAAGGTGCTTGGCAACACGGTGGTCCCGGGTGAAGGAAAGCTCGGTACAAATTAGGAAGGACCATACAAGGTGATTGGTCTCGCCGACAAAGGGGCATACCATTTGGAAGATTCGGATGGCAAGGCTGTCCCCCGACCTTGGAACGCAGCCAATCTTAAGGTCTTTTACTTTTAAGATGTAATCGCTTTTGTTGTTTAGATTTATGTAACTTTGAGCCTCTTGGCATTTTGATGTAAGAGATGTAGCACGATATTATGTAATGAAAATTAGCCCTCTCGTTGTCCGGTATTACATCTCTGTACAATTACATCGCAAGGATACAAAACAATTATGGCTGCCAGGGGCAAGTAGACTGACCTGAATGGGACCGGACTAATCTCCTCTCGCTGGAATGGAAACAGGCCGCACAAACAGTTGGTGCTTTGTCCAAAGAAATGATTGGCGAATGAACCAATTCAGATATGGGCCCAGCTGGGATTTGCTCGGCCAACGGGAATGTTGGCGACATGACCAACCTAAATGAAACATTGGTGTTTTGCCCAATGTAGCGGCCGGGCTGACTTTGCTCGGCCAGATTTGGCATGTTGGTGTTTTGTCCAACAAATGAGAAGCCGAGCTGACATTGCTCGGCAGAAGTGAAATGTTGGCGATCTACCCAACTGAAAGGGCGAGCTGGTTTTTGCTCGGTCACATTGAAGTACTGGAATTTTATAAAGTTTGAAAACCCGTCAAGGCCGAGCTGATTTTGCTCAGCCCCGTTCATGAGCCCTTAATTTCGAGCCGAGCAGATTTTGCTCGGCATTTTAAAAGGTGCATTTGAAATTTCAAGGAGCCGAGCTGCTAGATGAAGTTTGAACACGTTTAAGGAAATTTTGCACGGCGAAGCCAAAAAGCAATAGAAGTTAAACGGGCAAAAAGTTCAAAAATTTCATTCATTGAGAAAGTTGCAGTACATAAGGGCGGACATAGCCCGGTTACATTCCAAAACAAAGAAAGGAAGTAAACAAAAAACAAAGAAAATAAAGGCAGAGTTCAATCTGATTCTAGTTCAGCTGTCTGTTCGGCGACTTGCACAGTTTGCTCGGCCTCCTCCACATTGCGCTCGAGCAGGTTTTCTTCGGCCTCATTGTCAGCACCCTCCACCGTGACAACCTCCCGGTCAATAACTTCTTCATCGTCGGCATCTTGAGATACTGCAGGAGAAGTTTGCTCGGTTTGCTGTGCGGCGGTAGCTTCTTCCTCGGCCTCTTTCCGTGCCTCTGCGATAAGCCGGTTTTGAGTGGCCTGGGAGTACACCAGCATGTAGACCGGGATATAGGCCGTAGGTGGATTTATGAACATGTCAGAATCCTGTCCAAGGCCAACTTTCTCCACGGCAGCTTTCCAGCCGCACTGGAAAAAGATGTCCTTGGTCGCTTGGACCTGCCGCTCATAAGTTTTCTCCCCCTGAGCGTATCCCCCGTCCTCGGCGTCATCCACAGCTTTGTCCTTTTCTTCTTTGTGGGCATTGCGCAACTTACGCAGCTCGGCGAGGTACTGGGCCTTATTTGACTTCACGGCCCTTTGTTTGTCCGCTTCAGCTCGGTCAACCTTCAGGCGCAGTTCATCTCCATCGGCCGCAACTACATGAGGGAGAGGACATCTGCTCCACGCACGCACCAATACCGTTTGGCATTTCTGCATGTGCTGGTTGGAGGACAAAATCTTTACACGCGTAAGGTGGTGAGAAACAAGCACTGCCACCTGTCTAGGGAAGGACAACAGAGGTGGTGCGCGCACGATCTTGGGGTTGCATGGCCAGCCTAGAAATAGTGAAGGAAGGTGAACGTTAGAGGTATGCAGCTTCTTCCCCAAAGAGAATACTCTCTCTCTAACAGTCTTCTTCTTCCCCAAGTGGACTGACTTGATCGTCGGAGGGTCTATCCGGTACACCACCGCCGGGCAGCTCACCGTTTTTGTGTTGCCAGGTAGACACCGTCAAGAGAAGCTTGGAGTACAAGGAGTACGGAAAGCAGAGGATATTTCGCCCCCGTACAATTGGCGCCGTCTGTGGGAAGTCTTTGATACTCAACCTTGTTCTTTGAGCTTCGTCAACCATTTCCATGGCCAACAACGGCGAAGCCCCACTGTCCGTCGTTGATGGTGTCACACCTGAGTACGTCCGCTTGAGAGAAGGCCCCCCGAATATTCCAGCCATGGCGGGCCTAGAGACTCATTCGCGAGGTGCGCGAGACAAACGCGGGAGGAGTACTGATCGCTCGCAGAGTTCTGAGGGCCGCCGACGCCGGGGGGAGTCCCATGCGCAGCGCCTGGAGCACAAACTCAAGGACCAAGACGCCCTCATTCGCAAGATGGCGGCGGAGATGGAGCTACTGAAACGCCAGATTAAAGGGAAGGGTGTTGTTGGAGACGGCAACCTCAGTGAGCGCACCCCGTCCTCTCGTTGTAGCAGTCGCCGCCAGGGGAGGACTCACTCTCTCTCCATCACCAGGAACTATGGGGTTGGAGGTCACGATGGTAACCCCAATCACGACTAGGTCGGATGGGGCTAAGGGGCAATTGAGAGGGGAGATTTGCGAGTTAGTGTGGCCGAGCTACGATAACGCCGATCATGACGAACCGCACGGCGCCGAGCAGACTTCTCTTTTGCACGGCCCAGCGGCCTGACTTGCACGGCCGGAGAGGTCGACCTACTAGACACGAACCAATGCCTGGCCGAGCTATGACGCGGCCGAGCGCGCAGCGGTGTCTGATGACCAAGCTAAGAGGAGCCTGGGCTAGACTTGAGATACGATTAGCGCCAGCATGCGCCTAACCGATCGGCCGAGATGGACGGGCTTCATGTGATCAAGAATAAACAATGGTGGAAGTCCAGCGTACTTCATGGCCGGTCAGTTAGGTGGGACCGATCATAAATAGCCCGGTCATAAGCATAACACTTTGGCCCCTTTGCCAAGTGGCAGGTCGGCGTTTATTAGCTTGGTTGTGTGCTTGTGGAGAATTGCCTCCACAAGGAACCGGCCGGTCGTGGTACTCCGGTTAAGTGTGCCACCTGGGCCAATGGCGTGAGGAAGAGGACATCTGCTCCACGCACGCACCAATACCGTTTGGCAGTTCTGCATGTGCTGGTTGGAGGACAAAATCTTTACATGCGTAAGGTGGTGAGAAGCAAGCACTGCCACCTGTCCAGGGAAGGACAACAGAGGTGGTGCGCGCACGATCTTGGGGCTACATGGCCAGCCTAGAAATAGTGGAGGAAGGTGAACGTTAGAGGTATGCAACTTCTTCCCCAAAAAGAATACTCTCTCTCTAACAGTCTTCTTCTTCCTCAAGTGGACTGACTTGATCGTCGGAGGGTCTATCCGGCACACCACTGCCGGGCAGCTCACCGTTTCTGTGTTGTCAGGTAGACGCCGTCAAGAGAAGCTTGGAGTACAAGGAGTATGGAAAGCAGAGGATATTTCGCCCCCGTACAACCACCTCATCTATCAATGCAAAAGACCAACCTTCATCACTTGCAAAACCACAGGTACGGAATTCGCAATCAGCTCCTATACCTATAGGATAGGGCTTATGACCCAACCATTAATCCGGCTCGATGGGATACCCAAAGCCCAGGCCAAATTTTTGTATTATAATTCCTTATTCATTCCCCAATAAATTTTTAATTTAATATAAAAAATAAATAAATAAATAAAACTTAATTTAGGGTCCAAATTTGGGCCAAATCATTTCCCAATAAATTTTTAATTTAATATAATAAATAAATAAATAAATAAAACTTAATTTAGGGTCCAAATTAGGGCCAAATTGGCCATGCTCGGACCTAAGCCCATATTTTTATGACTATAGGCAGGGCTTGGGCTTTAGGATCTAGAATGGGCTAGCCTAAGCCCACCCTTTTGACTAGTCAAAGCCCATGTTCCTAGTCTTAGGCCTGGACCTTAAATTTTAAAGTTGACCTAAATGCATATAAAATTTTCATATATAACATTTCAATGCAAAGGGAAAACTACAAGGGTAAGCTGTGGATATATTAAACATGTAAAACTAAATTAACTAATTCCTAGCATCTTGCATTTGAAAATTATAGAAGTTTCTGACCATTTTTTTTATTGGTACATTAGGCACTGTAGTTTGGACGAGGGGGAGACTTGCATGTGGCAAGAGTTAACCCTTGACTTGTTAGTGAGGTGCAAAGATTCTAACCAACTGAGTAGCTAGTCCTAGTTAGTTATATCACCATATTTGTATTGTATTACATCAGTATTCTGTATCTGTCTCTATGCCTCATAGACTTTAGTCAAATCGATAAGTGGGATTGTTCACTGAAATTCTCTCAGGCATTCAACATTATCATGAAAATCTGATCAAGTTAATGTATATATATATATTCAAAGTTGAGAAAGCATGAAACAATTGAATCAGATTAATTTTTGGTCAACTAGAGAAGCCTTGACCTCACCAAAACACAAATTTAAAAAAAAAAAGAAAAAAGAAGAAGAGATGGCTAGTTTTCATAGATTGGTGCTTTTGTTTCGAATGATGTTTTGAATCCAATTCTTTAACTGTTTTTTGTCATCTTTTTCAAGTTTGCATTTTGCAATTTCCATGGATGATAAACTAGAGAAGGCACTGTTTCTTTAGTTAACAGTTCTCTTTCACACAACAAGATGGCTTCAACTAACTCCATGATGGGGATGGTAGAAGAGAGGTCCTAACAATCAGTACATCAGTGACAGCACTTCATCACTGATATGTATATCTATATTACTTGGACAAAAGTATGGGATATGTGCCCGATACTTTCCATTTGACACTTCTTATATATTTATATTTAACACTATCATTATAAGTATATATTGTTATATAATTGCTATAAAATGAGTAAAATCCCTATTTGACATATAAAACCATTTCATCCAAAACAATAGAATAAAAATATAACTTTTTTTTTTGGCCAAATCAACATATCGTTAAATTTGAGGTTTGATGGGTCCAACGTTTAGACACACACTCAACACCTATACCTGAGTCCATTTAACATAGAGAGA